CCGCAGGTCATATCCACTCGTTATGATTCCGTCGATCCCAGACGCAGAAAGCATCTGAGTGCGGGTGCGAAGGCAGGGCCGCGGGCGTGGTCGGACGTGCCAGTATACAGCAACGCTAGAAACTCATTCGGTGCGTTTCGATGTCTCGTTGATTGTGAAGCTCGGCTCCAGGGGCGCGCGCGGTGTGGTTAGCATGCAGGCACATCATTTTCCAACCCTTTGCTTTCGACAAGTGTCCAACCGATGCAGTGTCTAGGTCTGCGTTTTTTTTTTTTTTTTTTTTTGTGTGTGTGTGTGTTTTTTGTGCGGTGTGGCTTGCGCGCGCGCAAATTCTGCGGCGCGTTCGCGCGGCGCGCGCGCGTGCGCGCGTGCTCGTACTCCGCGCTGCTAGTCCTCCTTGCTTTTCTTCTTCTGCGCTGGGACTCGTGTCGCAAGACAGCCGAAACCATCGAGTTTCCCTGGCGGAGTTCCGTAAAAGAGCAGTTTTCGGTCTGCGTCCCAATGCCCGCGCGTGCGTGCGCGCGGACGCTGCCATATTCAATTTGAAGAAAGCTCTCACCAGACTGCTCTCCTTCATCGCCTTCGCATGCCGGGCGCGCTGCGGCAAACTCTTCAGGCTGGTATTGCGGTCCATCGTTCCAGGACGCGCTCTCCGAAGCCCCCTGGTCGTTCGAATGGGGCTGGGGCGCAACCTCTGCTGACCTGTTACCTTTCTTTCTTGCCGTCCTTCTAGTGTTAAGCCTGCTATATGAAGTCCAATGGTTCCTCATCTTGCAAATGTCGCGCCTTTCTGTGTCTGAGCTTTGCCGCCAGCAGTCTTTCCAGACCGTTTGCCAGACCCTTGCCAATGCTGTGAGACCAGTGAACGGGGCGCCCCGAGGAGGATCGTGTCTTTCCTTGCAACTCTTGCCTCCGAATTTCCCTCCTTGATCCTTTCCTTTGCCTCCTGTCTTTCCTGTCCTTCCTCCTACACCATTTCCTTTTTCTCCTCCTGTGTTTCCTGTCTTTCCTCCTTTCCATGCGGGCGTAAAATGATAAGACTGCCATGGGCTTAGCCCAGTAATCGTTTTTTGGCAACGTGATTTTTCGAGACTCGCTTTCCGTGGACATGCGTTACATTATCCTGTCTGAGTTCCTCAGAGGTATCAGCAGTTCCGTGTTCACCTCAACGTGTTATTTCGTTGGTTGTGGAATTGTTCGGTACTTGCTGTGATCTTCGCGTCATCGGAACACTCGTTTGGGCTGGCAGATCATCGTGTTGCTGCACAGGAACTTCGAACTCAGCCATCTGTTCTGGTATCATGTTCAAACGATCAGTGGAGAAATCGTATCTCAGGATTGCTGTCATGAGTCCTCAGCGTGTTGTTTTTTGGTTTGTTCGCCATCTCGGGTGCATGATTCCCGGCACATATCGAAGCCGCTCCCTTTTTCAAGCTTCCGAAACACCTTGGCCATTTCTCCTTTGACAAGGCCTACCAACATGTAAGTTATGTTAACTGCGTGCCGTTTCACAGGCGCGGCCATTGGTGAAAGATTCATCTCATCCTCCTGTCTCGTACTTGCGCGCTCATGTTTTCCAACATCTCGCTATTCATGACCCTTCCTTAAATTTTCAAACTGAAGAGTCCAATCCGGCCAATCAGCATCTCTGCACGAACGCACCCTGACGCTCTTTCCAACAAGTTTCGGATCTATCACCGTTTGGGCTATTTCTTTCTTCGGGGGTTGTTCCTTGAACTACTCCCCGCTCTCCCCGTGGATCTGCGGTTTTCTAAATAGCAGCTTCGCTACCATTGACTACAGCAGGTGCCTTCTGCGTCGGATGAACTTGACCCAGCCCGGTTGTGGAACGGACAAGGCGGACGAAGGGAGACGAACGTCGGGGACGAGTGCTTGAATTCCAGCAGAAGGAGGAGGAGGCGGAGGAGGAGGGATATGAGTTATGCGGAGGAGGAGCTTCCGAAAACCACCGTGTACATTTGGAGACCTGCTGAGAGCTTTTCGGGGGCCTCCGAGAAGCTCTGGGATTCTCCAGGGATTCCCCGAGAACCCCCGGCCGCGCCCGAAAAGACATCGGGATTCTTTGGGCACCGCCGAGCACCGCCAGCAGCCTTTGGAAACTTCCTTGTCCCCCAGTCTCCCTCTCCTCCTACTCCTTCTTCTCCTCTTCTTCCTTTTCCTCCTCTCCTCCTTCCTCGTCCTCCTTTTCCTCGCTCCTCCTCCTCCTCCTGCTCCTCCTCGTCCTGCTCCTCCTTCTCCTCCTCCTCTTCTTCTCCTCCTCTTCCTCCTCCTACTCCTCCTCTTCTTCTCCTCCTCTTCATCCCCCTTCTCCTCCTAAACCTCCTGCTCCTCCTCCTCCTCCTTGTCCTCGTCCTCGTCCTCATCCTCCTCTCCCTTCCTGTCTGCCTGCCTGCCTGTCTCCCTCCATCGGGCAGGCGGTCCCTGCCTCGTGTCTCTATCTCTCTCTCTCTCTCTCGGGTAGGTCGTGTAGATCGGATCGGACGAGGCCCGGGGAAGCGTTCCCTGCCTGGCCCCCCTCCGCACCTCGGGGAGTCTCCGAGTTGCCCCTCCTGGTACGCCGCTGGTGGCCGCGGCTCGGGCGGAGTCGCCTTCCGAGGAGGAGCTTTCTCACGCCAGCCCTCCCCAGGAGGAGCTTTCTCACGCGAGGAGGATGAGGATGAGGAGGAGGAGGAGGAGGAGGAGGAGGAGGAGGAGGAGGAGGAGGAGGAGGAGGAGGAGGAGGAGGAGGAGGAGGAGGAGAGAGGAGGAGGAGGAGGAGGAGGAGGAGAGGGGAGGAGGAGGAGGAGGAGGAGGAGGAGGAGGAGGAGGGGAGGAGGAGGGGGAGGAGGAGGAGGAGGAGGAGGAGCCTCCAGCGCTGGCAGCTTGTCTTCCAGAGCCGTCGCAGGAAGGCCGCTCCCGAAGCCCTCGTGGGCCGTGGCGCCTTGCTGAAACGGAATCCGCGCCCGAGGCGTTCGCGTGCCGTCTCAACGGGCACACACGGGTTTCCTCCTCCTCCTCCTTCCTTCCGTCCCTCCGGTCTCCCCTCCTTGTCTGTCAATCCACTCTCTCCTCCTCCTTCTCCTTCTCCATCCCTTCTGCTCATGAGCAGCTCCTCCCTGTCGCTCCCCCCCAGACGCGTCGGTAGGGTGGGCAGGGCTTTCCGCTTGAGATGTCCTTGTCAATCGCAATCCGGAAGCTTGCAATCTGCGACAGTTTCATGGCTGCAGGGCGGGCCGTATCATCGCGGGGCGCATTCGTCCCAAAAGTTTGCAGTAGTTTCAAGGATGGAAGGCGGCCCGTATTCATAATGTGGCTGCCGCCTTAGCGCCGCGCACATTCGTCTCCAAAGTTTGTAACAGTTCCAGGGATAGGGAGCATGCCGTTATTTAAAGGCTGTTGTCGCTTTAGCGCCGCGCGCCTTCCTACTCAAAGTATGCAGGATTTAAAATGATAGAAGGTGGCTCCTTTTGAAATTGTGGCCCTCGCCACAGCACGGCGCACATTTCTTTCAAACGTTTGCAGTTGCAAGGTTTCGTACGGTTGAAGTCCCGGGAGTGGTGTTCTCGCGCACTTAAGACTGTCAGCACGCGGCCGTCGCCTTGATTCGCTGTGTTGAAGTCACAGGAATGGTATTATGTCACGTCTTAGGTTGACAGAACGTAGCAGTCACAGTGATCGGCGGCGTTGTAGTCCCATGAGCTGCGTTTGGGCACGATTGCGGGTCATCAGGCGATTGCCTTCTAATGGTCAATGTCCCGTAATGCAGATAATTTCTTGTAGTTTGAGCTTGGTGGGAGGGTTTACTTGCAACGTCGCTGATGCGTCTTGTGATTGCACTGGTCCTCCTCATCCTCTTCTTTCTCCTCCGCCTACTTTTTTGTGTTCTTGGGATGGGAGCCGAGCCGCCGGATACCCGGCGTGGCCGCCCAGCCCCAGGCCATCCTCCGCATGACGCGCGTGCCCCCCCTGGAAGCCCGACTCCCTCCCCTCCTCCTCCCTCCTCCTCCTTGTCTTCCTACCGCCTTCCTATGTCTCCCTTCTCCCTCTTTGTCCCGCCTCTCCTTCCTTCGTCTTCCCTTCTCTTTCCTTTTCCTGCTCCCCGTCATCCCTCTCCCTCCCCTTCCTCCTTCCCTTCCGCCTCTTGGTTTACCCCCCTCCTCTTCCTCCTTTGTGTACGGGAAGGAAGCAGCACTGTGATCTGGCCCCAAACGCCGTGAAGATTCGGAACAGTCTGAGCACACCGCATCATGCGCTGATGCCCCGTCATCCAGCGCAGTTTTTTGTTCAAGACGTGGCTCTAGCACCGTGGACAGTTCGACCCCTTCCCGGGTGTTCGTGCTTTCCACCCAGAGATGATTTCGGTAGTGGCCTTGGGAGCTGCAGGCGGCCTCCCATGAGGCCGAGCGCGCATAATCGGCTACGCGCAGAGGGGGGTCGTGGGAGGAGGGGGTTTCTTACAAGCACCCCTGCTTGTTACAAGGCTCGGGCCTTGTCTCTAGACGTAAGGCTGGCGTCTTCTCAGAAGCAGCCTCCCTCTCAGAAGCCTCCCTCCTTCCCGCTGCCCCTCCGCACGGCGCCAAGAGAAACGCACCCGCCCTGATTTGTCAGGGCGCTGGAAGTCTGGGGGGGTCCTTTCCGTGCTCGCGGGTCGAAAGTCGACCCCCCAGACCTGTCTCGGCGTGAGTGCTGACCTCTCGAGGGTGATTCCGACGTGGCGCCGATGGGCCTCCCGGAAACCCCATAGAGGGCAAAGAGCAGCGCCCCCAAGCCTCGAGCCCCGAGCCTTGGCCCTCAAACCTCGATCTTGCTCTTCTTCTTCTTCTTCTCCTCCTCCTCCCCCTCCTCGTCCCCCTCCTCCTCCTCCTCCTCCTCCTCCTCCTCCTCGTCCTCCTCCTCCTCCTCCTCCTCCTCCCTCCTCCTCCTCCTCCCATCCGCCGCGTCCTGTGGCGCCGCCCTCTATTCAGGAGACAAAGGTGCCAGAGGTGTCCTTGTACAACCGCATGCTGCGGGGGGACGGGATGCGGCTGGAGCTGGACCGCTTCATGACGCTATTCTCGCCGTCGTACTTCCGCACGACGCTCCTCATGCTGTACGTCCCAGGGGCGGCGTGGAAGGGAGGAGTGTGCCCAGACCCCCTCGCGTCGTGAGCAAGCAGAAGCACGACGGGATGTTTTCAGCCGTCGCCTGCTTCTGCTGGCTCTTCTCTGGCCCTGGGGGCCGTGAGCAGAAGTCGGAACGACCAGCAGCTCCGGGGAGAGGGTCGAGACCTCCAGAGGTCCGCGTTGCGAACAGAACCTCCGACGCTGGGCGGCTGGGGGGAGGCGGTTTCGGACCCCCGAACCGTGAAGCAGTTGCTCGGGATGGACAGGGCGGCCCCCGGGTTGGGGCCCTCGAGAGGTCCGGGGGGCCG